GCATTGTTATTTTCCTCCTTCACTGGAAATTTTTATCTCTTCCAGTAATTAATCCAAAAATGCTCAAGCAGACTCTACTGCACTCACACAATTCCATGATGAGTGTTCTGCACCCGGATGTATCAGTGTCACTTATGGTGAGACAGACATTCAATAAAGGAATTATCAGAGAGGATATTGGAAAAGATCAGCTCTATCAGCCAATTAATGTCAAATGAAAAACTTCAGCTCTAGTTAAATTGGCACCAATGGCACCAAATCTTAAAAAGGGAGTTCCTTTTTCAATTTCAAATTATATTTTTTCCCTGAAAAAAGCACTTTCCTGTAATATCTCAAGCACCACCTCATGGCATATGCAAGTTGCTTCTGTGGCTAAAACTCAGGATTTGGAGTCCATTCTTTGCTGTGTGCAAGTTCATCCCAGAAAAGAGACATTTGGATTTGCTGCTTGCGTCTTTTAATGAAGGTCAAAGAAACATATGGACTTGGAAAACAGAGTTATAAAAACTTTAGGGAAAATCTAGATGTATTTGAGCAATTTGCTGAGTTTTGTAATATTCCTAATTAAAAACAAATAAAATCAGCCCTAATTTTCCAGTATGACGCACACTGAATTTTATGTTTAAACTCAGCCACAATTTAAAGCGGCCGACAGCCTCAGAAGAAGGGAGGAACCAGCGTTTAAAAAAATAACCAGGATTTTCTTAGATCGTCATGTTGACTCTAGGTATAAGTCATGCTGATAGATTATTCATGAGCAAGTTCCCCAAGAGCAAGATCCAAAAAATGCCCCAAATTTCTCCAGAAGATGTGCTGTGACTTCCATAAAATCTGAATCAGGCTGTTAGATCTGAACATGCTTCTCTTTCACAAGCGAGAAATTACCTAATCGTTCTATCTGGTAACAGCCACTCAACAAGAATAAAGGCATAATACAGAAGCCAATAACCATCTCTGTCACATTACCATTATTTATATTTTCTGTGCTTACTGAAGGACTCTTAGAAACCCTAAAGTTCACTCTTATAAACACCAAAGTTACAGAATGGGAATTCTGTTCATCAGAACGAAGAACTCAACTTCCGAGAAATAAAAAAACGCCTCTAGCATCCTATTCCCTTTTCTTCGATATTAAGAGAAATCAAAATGGCACATAATGTTATTTCTGCATGAAACTATTGAATTCTGACATGACCCAATCAGCAAATTCCCTGTAAAGCAGACACCAAGCAGGTTTGCAAGCCAAGGTCGCACAGAGAAGTGCCAGAACAGAAAGCAATTAAGGTCCCGTTCTTCCCCTCCCTACGCAATGCACCGAAAATGAAATCAACATCCAAACTAATTAGTTTCCAGCAGAATATCAGTTTACTTGCTAACAGGAGGGTGGTTACTGCTCTTACCAAAAACTTCTAAACATACCATGCAAGATCTTGCTTAAGCCAAGGGACCAAGCCAGGCACATCCCAATGTTACCATATACGGTCACCAACATGAATATGATGGCAACTTGACAGATTTGGAACAAATACTGCGTTGTCGGTCACTGAGATAACATAGGCAGGAAAATATCAGATTGTATTACCTGTGTCCAGCCGGAGGTGTGGCGTGGCAGGAGCTACATTGCTGCAGGACACAGTCACTAAAGGTTAGTGACCCAGGATGGCATTAATCCCTGCAGAGGAGGGCCAGAGCAGCAGACTGAAGAATTTTATACCCAGTATGAGGCTGCTTGGAGAGAGCAGGAATGGAATAACACAAGGGATGAGCTGCTGGACCTGCACTGTTATCCCAGGTTCAGAGCAGACATTATCTCTTGAGGTTGGGAACCAGGCTGAAGCTGCCAGGCTAAAGCCCCAAGCCCTGGCCGTCAGCTGGAAGACATTGTCCCTCATAGAAAACCACAGCACTCAGATTTTGTTCTCCAAGAGTGTGTTTTGAGCACACAGGCGTTCTAGTCTTCAGCCACAAGGGAAAGAAGGAGCTTGGATATCTACCAAAATAGCTCCCGAGGAAGACTTTTTTGGTACAGGCTCCCTTCAGGAGATCCTTAGCCTACAATAAGATTGGCCACTGAGAATTATTCCAGACTAAGTTTTTTGAAAGGGTTATTCCAGTGCATTTGCAGGTGTACAGAAGCCCTTAGTCAAAGTCTTTCAACCCCAAAAGCATTAGTTCAAACACAGCTAGAGCTACCTCACCCCTAATCCCTTCAAACACAAGTTTACCATCTGTACCTCTAAAATCAGACCTGCTCTCTGTTTTTCCTGGATACTTCAGAGGTAGTACTTCTTTCTTAAAAGTTTATCTTGGTTTGCTAAGATATTCCCCTTTTTACAGTGTCTTCTACATCAGTGATGAGATACATTGTTGGACAGAGCCAGCAGGCATAGATCCGACCCTGCAAAAACGCCCCGATTTGCTGGAGGGTGGAAAAAAAAACCTGCCAGCTAAACCAAACCATTCATTCCTACAGGGCCCTTTGCCTTAAAAGGTGTCACCTAAATAAAGATGTAAAAATAATACAACGTAACATTTAATGCAAGATTGCAGCTGACCATTCAACTGTCAGGAAATATCAAAGCTGGAGCGCGTGGGCAACTTAACTCTGCCCCCTTGTGCAGATGCACCATGACACAGCCCTTCCCCAAGCACAGGCTGAGCATTCAGTCAGCCTCAAATTAACACCCTAATTACAGCATAACCTACTTTTGCCTAAAATGAGTAGAATAGAAGGACCATCACTTTCCCAGAGAACTTCCTCAGCCACCTTCCTCACTTGATCACCAGCCAGCAAGCACTTTAATTAAACTTCTGATGCCTCGGATCAGGAGGTGCTGGCACACTTCAGGCCTCACACGTCTGATCTGCAATCAGGACACAGATTTTAAATGCTGTTTGACCAAAACAAAGAGCCCTTCTTCCTCCAGAGAAGAGCCTCACAACCTCAGGCTGAGATTTGGCTGAAGGACTGCCTATAAAACCTGAGCGACTGTAGCAGGTAACGTTTACACATCTCCAGTGGCCAAAGACCTCGTATGAGGTGTTCAGAAAAACTCTGCAGGCACATGAAAAACCTGGCACATTTTTCCAAGAACCTGAAATTATCCCAATGTAAACACCTAACAATTGGAGATATCTGTCAGCACAAAGTTTCAAAGTTCTGGGAAGTTTCTGATCTCTGCTCACGAGTTTGATCATCCATCTACCTCCTTCACCATCAAAAATGTTCTCCGTCTTAAGGAGGTCTAAAGCAGGACTTCAATGTCAGAATTGTGTCTGTGTTTTCACAGCAATGACTCCTTTTTCTTCTCTCCTTCCCCTCTCTTAAATCAGCACACGAATGAATGGCATTTTTCATGGGTTTGGCCCTGGCTTTTAACCTCTATTTCTTGATAATTTTAAATACCCAGAACCATCTCTCCGTACACTTACAGGGTTTTTCCAGCTTTGAAAAGTGTTCAAATAATCCAATTACAATATGATCCCAACTAAGTTTTATTTAAAAGATCTTTCCACAAGAAAAACAATGTTGTCTTGAAATTACTACTGTTAATTTTCTGTCTCTTTTTCACATGACAAGAGCCCACAGTGCTTCACTTTCCAGGGGCAATAAGTGTAAGAGCAAGACAGTTGCAAACCAAATTTAAACAGGCTCAGCCAGTAATGCAGCCGATACTCCGCTCACATCAGAGACAAGAATCTTTTTGTCTTCTCCTGCCCACTTCAGATCTTTTCCGGAACTCCACCAACTTCTCAGGTCCATTGCAATAATATACATCCATGAAGTCATCTTAATTCACACACTGCTGCCCATCGCCCACAACTTAAACTGAGTCTCCATTGTAAGCCTTGCCTGGAATTCAGACTTGAAGGAATTACAGCCTATATACTGTTTTCTTTTTCATTCAGCTTCCAGACAAATCATTTTACAGTGCTTTTGCCTCCATAAAATATTTTCTTGAGAGCCAATGCCAAAAAGAAAAAAAAAAAAAGCAGTACACTAAACCAAACTTGAGTTTTGAGAGCAATTCTTCCCCTCTCCTTTCCCACCCTCACCCCCAAGATTTATTTTTGGCAAGTTACAGCCCAAGTGAAGGGCAAGTTTAAACCTTTTAATTTGCAAGTTCTTCACACTGGATGACTTCAAGGTCTTACAACAATTCACAAAACTCTGAGACAGTTGGGCATTGCAGCTGGAGCAATCTGCATCCTAAAATTGTACCCCTATTCTCTGGAACAATGCAGCCCCTACTTTGTGACCAGAGGGATGGGAGCTGAAATCCTGGATTCCCATTCAGGCTTTCTAAGGACAGCACCCACGAAGGCACAATACAGGCAAAAGCGCAGGAAGCGCCACCGCTCCTTGCACTCTGATCCCAGAGCTTTGCTAAAAGCACCTTGCCATAAAGAAACTTCTTTTTTTTTCCTACCCCCATTATTCCCAGGTCAATGTATTTCAATTTGCCTCTGGAAAGGTAACCTGTTTATTGAAATCTGATCAACTGCTGGAGCCTCAGTGCTAAAATACGCTCTTGCTGTTGGGAACTGTCATTTGTCTGTCACCGGGGAAGTTAATGGATGTGTTTGTTTAGTTTGTAAGTGGGAATACACAGGGCAGAGGCTGGAGGGATTACAGGAGGGGAGAGGTATTTCTGATCCACAGAGGAATGCAGTTGCTTTTCTTCAAAATTGTCTGCGTATTTTTACACAGGCACAAGAAAAGCCCCTGGAAGTTCACCTGTGCCTAACAGACCTCAGCAAAGCTGCAGTGACCACGCTCCGTCCCAAAGGACGGCCCCGGACCACGCAGGTAAGGAGGCACCACACGTGGGCACGAGCCTGCACCTCTGTGCAGATAAAAAATGTGCAGGGGACAAGTCCCTGCTGACAGCAACTCCCCTGGGGGGACCCTCCAGGGGCACTTGAGGGTGTTTGCAGAGCCCACGGGGCAGAGGGTAGAACAGAGTCACAGGGTGGTCACACCAAGCGCGGTCCCTTACCTCTCGCCGAGTCCGAAAATGCAATTATCCCTGCGAAAAGGAGCGCCAGCTGCAATTCCATTTTGAAAACCAGACCCCACCGTATCGCACAGGCTACTGTCCTCTCAGACCTGGAGGCAGGAAAAAGGAGAGCAATATAGTTACTGGGGGAAAAAAACTCTGAACAAACCTCAACTTTACAGAGTTTTAAATCCTATTGAGAAGACTGGCAAGAAGAAACAGCAAATGAAAGAGCAACGTACTTTTAATTCATTCCTTGGTGCTCAGTGAGTAAAACTTTGCCCTCCTCTCTGCTTTAGCCTGATATAAATCAAGAACCCACTGAGGCCAGCAAGCTCCTCTAAGTTTACAGTTAATGCATAATTCTTTAGTATCCTGTACAGAACCAGTCTGGAAGGCAAACAAAACGCTAGCAAGTGGCCATAAAACAAGACTTCAGGTTAACAATTTGCTGAGGAACTTGGTGGAAGAGGGAGGAGGAATGTTACCTCTCCCATCAGCAGCCCAGAAAACTTTGTGTTGCTGCTCCAGTGCCCCTCAGTCAGGCTCCGCTCTGGGTACGCGCCTTCCTCAACTCCGAGACTTCTCTGTACAGCACTGATTCCTTCTTTCCTCTTCTTTCCTCCCCCACCCCCGGCACGCTCTCCCCACCAACAGCCCCACTTGTTTCCGTGGGCTCCAGAGGTGCGTCCCAAAGCGCAACCGCACTTAATTATCCAGATTCTTGAAGAGTCCTTCGCTGTGATAACGCACACCCGAGGAAGATCAGGTTTACATTAATTACACCCTATTCTCCTCCTAAAACTCTCACTCTCTAAACACTGTCTGGATTCCTCACCCTTGTAAACTCCCCGGTTTAAACACCCCGTGCCCCCAGGACACACAACAACCCGCGCACAGCATCCAGCAAAGCAAACACGGCCGCTCCGCCGTTCGCTCCGCCGTTCGCGGCGGGCAGGGGCAGCGGCGGCGGGGGGCGGCGGGGTTGCCCGGGGCGCAGCGCCGTAACGGGATATTCACCGCCGGGAACCGGGGTCGCGGAAGGGAGGGACGCGCGGGGGGACACCCGGCGGGGGGACACGCGGCGCGATGCCACCTGGTGCTGCCCCGCGCCTCGGGGCTGCGCTGGCGGCTCCCAGCTGTGCGCTACGCGGCCCCGGAGGGGTGTCCCGCGGGGTGTCCCGGAGGGGTGAACCGCCGGGGTGTCCCGCGGGGTGTCCCGGCCGGGTGTCCCGGAGGGGTGTCCCGCGGGGTGTCCCGGCGCGGGTGGCGGCGCGGGGCACACTTACCTTGGCTGCTGCCGGGCTCTAACACCGCGCGCCGGAGCCCATCCCCGCCGCTCGCCGCCTCATGCCCTCCGCGGCCACGGCGCCCGGCGGGCGCTCCGCCGCCGGCCTCTACCTCATCCCCCCCTCCCCGGGGTGGCGGGGGCTGCCTGGGGGTGCCCTCCCCACGGAGCGGCTCTGCCCCTTCACCGGCTTTTTAACAACCTCCCCCCTTTCGCCCCCGCCGGCGATTTTTTTTCCACTCGAGAGTCACGGGCGAGGAGGTCAGGGAAAGGGGGAAACCTTGTAAATTATTTTTTTGCTGCTTTCCGGGCCGGGCTGAGCGTGTGTGTGCGGGGAGGGACAGCGGGGACCTGCCAGAGCCTCCGGGGCTCCGCGCCGCGGGATGCCCGGTGATGCCGTCCGGCGGCTCGCCCAGCCGGAATCCCGTTTAAGGAGCGAGGGGAGGAGGGGAAAGGGGCTGGGGAAGGGGAGGGGAGGGGGGGGGGAGAGCCGGGGAGAGAGAAACCGGCGATAAAGCAACTTTCCCTGCAGGGCTTTGTGGCGGTGGGGGCCGAGCCGCCGCGGAGGGCGGCGCGGGGCCGCCCCGCTCCAAACTTCGCACCAATCCCCGGGAGCCCCCGGCAGCCCCCGCCCTCCGCCGGCCCCGCTCCCCTTAACCCTTTGCGGGCGGCAGCGGAGCGCTCGGTGCGCCGGGAGCGGGGAGCGCGTCCCGCAGCCCCCGCCGCGCTCCGCTCCCGCTGCAGCCGCCGCTCCGAGCCCGGCGCCACCCTCCGAGCACAGCGCTGCCCTCCCGCACCCGCGGAAGCCCCGCGGCCGTGGAGACCTTCGGCCCCGCAGCCTCGCCGCAGCCCGGACCCCGTCCCGGCCAAAGCACCGCTCTGCCCGGGCCGGGAGAGAGCCCCGGCCGCGGGAACCCACCGCGCAGGCAGCCGGGGAGGGACGGGGGGCGGCTGCCCCGTTTTGATCCCTCGGCTTGGATGAAAATGATGCCAGAAAGAAGCTGGCCTGAACTAAACTAAACCAAGTGGAAAATAAACTGTGGAGATGACAGTTCCTTGTATTAACTGTTACAATTATTTATTATTTACTTTCAAACATGATTCGGTTGATGCATCCGCTCTTACAGCAAATCACTCTTCATACAGGATCAAAACCAACCTGGCCGAATTCACCAAACAGACTAAACAAACGACAAGAAAAAATACTGCCTCAATGGCTAAACTTTTTGTATCATAAAAGAAATATCACTACTGTTGATGTTATAGTTTCTTAGATCTCTTACTTGATATGTTCCAGCATGAAGACCTCCTTGAAAACAAAGTTGTCTCAGTACTAGTTCAATGTGTTAGGCACCAGGAGAACGCCTAAACCCAAGCCAAGAATTAGTCTGAACATCTCTCTTATCTGTTTTGTTAGGATTATGAAATCACACCCTCTATTTTTATTGTTATTACTAAATATTTTTACTGAGTGGTTCCTGACAACATTAAATCTTGATACACAAAATCAATGTGAAAAACATGTAAGACTAAACATATAAACCCCCTGAGCCAGAAACAAAGTGGACAACAACACTGTTTTTGTATTTTACATATTTATATCATCATTTTTATCATTAAAGTTAGCTCAGCTGAGAAATACCAGATGGACTCCTCCTCCTATCAGGCAATAACTTCAGCCTCATTGATTTCAAAGACAGTGTTGACTGAGGGAAACCTTCAGGACTTAAACCTACATGGTCATGCTCATGCCATGCCTTCTGATGAAATCACTCTAAGCTGCAGCAGGACGAGAGCTCAGCTTCATGCTGCATCTCAGGGGATGATGTGTAAAACACCTTTTCGTAACATTTTCCAGCCATTTCACCCCAAAGGAGTCAAGGTCTTTGTCCCAAAGCCATCACCACACAGGTGATGCAGCCCTATCTACACAACCTCTGTTTCTGTGCAGACTGAAGTCCAAAGCAGCCTCAGTTCTGGTGCAGACATGGGACATTGGCTCACAGGCAGGTTTCTCACCAGGTTAGAGGGACTGACTGAGCTCCTCCTCCATGTCTTGTTTTTCAAGTCACGCACAGAGACCGAGGTTTAAATCCCAGATCCCATTACTATCTTGTCTCAGACTGTCTAGACTTGGGTGAGCTCTCTCCAGGCCTCAATCAGCTCTGAAAGAAAAGATCTTCCAACCCAGGCTGTGCCCAAGCTCAGCACTGAGTACCCAGCTCAGGTTGGACACAGAGGATAAAAATCCCCTGATGGATTCACTCCTTCTATCCTCGCTTCCTTATTGAAAATCACATGTGTGCCTTTGGAGGCTCCAGCATCTCCCAGACTGAGAATTTCTCCTCGCAGAAGAGCTATAAAGCAGCAAAATCTCTCCTGCAACCTTCCACCAGTGTGAAGTTCTGGGAGATGAGGGATTACAGAGATGATACACAAGAAGTTAAAAATTATTCAGGTGCCTCAACACCTTCAGATGCCCTTTAAGCCCCTTCCTTAGGCATACAGAAGCTTTTTAAGAATATGATTCCAAGTGATGTTGCAAAGGGATTACATGGGGCAGGGAATGGAGCCCATAGCTTCTATACCCCAGGCTAAAGTAACTGGAAAAAAAAAACCTTTCTGACATCAAAATGTTAGCACTATTTTTAAACTTTTTTTTCAGGGGCTTGTGAGTGCCTGAAAGAAAGTCTGAAACCATGCTGTAGGCTTCATCCATCTCAATGCCAATACCATAGAAGAAGAATAAATGTAAAATATTGATACAAGAAAAATAATTAATATTCCTGAAACAGCTCCTAGTTTATCAGAAACAAAATCTCTTGTTTTCCCAACACTTCTACCTAAAAAAGGAAACATGCAGAGCTGTGTTTTTCTTTTGGGCTGGCTGTAATTTGCAGCATGATTGAGTAGTCTGAAAGTCAGCAGCCCCAGTTTGCTCCTGCACCCCACAGTCCTGAGACAAGGCTGTGGGAAAACAGCTTTCTGGAGCTGACAAACAAAAACGAATGCTAAGCAACGAAATACGTGTCTCCACATGGCCTGAGAAGCAGCCTAACAGTCCATTTGTATCCCAGTTGTCCCCAAAGCCCTGTTTCCGGACCATGGCTTTTCAAATTTTGCATAGCTGTGATGGTCTAGTGAACATCCATCCCCAGAGTAACTTTCCTTATGTCTCCAAAACCACCAGCTGGACTTTTCCCAGCTTTTTTACCTCTTTTCTCACAGGAGCTGCTCACCTCCGCTGTCACAAAACTCAATTTTCCCGCATTTTCTCCCTTCCAGCTTGACTGGCCTTTTCTTTCCCCCTGCAGATGACCTGGGAGACACAGCACCTTCAGACTCTAATTCCTAACCTGCTCCAGTGATTTTTTTTCCAGCTGCAGGTGGCAGCCGCACAGCCGGATTCTCCATGACACCAAGCACTCCACGGGGCCACAGGGATCCAAGCAATTTGGGCTGGCAGCAGTGCCTTGCCCGAGGAGCACGGGCCCTGTGGCACAGCTCACTGGGGACATGCCACCATGGCTCCATGGGGACATGCCACCAAGTCTCCATGGGGACATGCCACCAAGGCTCCATGGGGACGTGCCACCACAGCTCCATGGAGACGTGCCACCACAGCTCCATTGAGACATGCCACCACAGCTCCATGGAGACGTGCCACCACAGCTCCATGGGGACATGATGCCATGGCTCCATGGGGACATGCCACCAAGGTTCCATGGGGACATGCCACCAAGGTTGCATGAGGACATACCACCATGGCTCCATGGGGACATGCCACCACGGCTCCATGGGGACATGCCACCATGGCTCCATGGGGACGTGCCACCACGGCTCCATGGGGACATGCCAGTGGAGTGCATGTGGGGCTGGGTGGCTCCATGCAGCTGATGGAGCACGTGAAGGTGATGGAAGGGCATGATCAGGATTAGCACATTCATTCCCTCCACCTGCCACGCTGTCCCTGCAGCCCTCCTCTGCTTACCCAGCCACGTGGGGTCAACCTGAGCATCCCTCCTGGATGCCTGGGAAGGGGGTTGCTGTGGATGCAGGGAAAGGTAAGTAACGTGATTGATCCCTGCGTGGTTCAGTTCTGATAAAGCATATGGTGTGTTGCAGGGTGGCACAGAAAATGTCACAGCTGGGAAGGCAAAAGGAGCACAAAACACGCTTTTCCATTTGCACAACACCAGAGTCACTGTGCTGTTCCATTTGGGTCTATAGCTAAAGCTGAAATGGTGTTTTTCAGAGAAAGCAGTGTTGTATAACAGCAGAATCACTGTCTTCCCTATATGTGGTAACTGAGACCTAGCTATATCCTAGATAACATTTCGAGGGGATGAACAGGCAGATGGAAAGATCAAACGGTGAAACAGTACTGAAATCTGTGTCATGTGTAAATATACATTCAGTCCCTTAGAGTAGCTTTGCTATAAGCGGTGTTGCAAAGAAACAAATGGTTCATCATATGCATGAGGTTCACTTTTATACATGAAGCATGAATGCCACTGTCTGACAGAGGGAAAGGGTGGTAACAGGGTTAGATGTCCTATGATCCAAACCCTGGGTCCTGTGCAGAAAGCTGGGAGGTGCCACTTCCTCATGGCCATTGTACCAGAGCTTTCATGGCTTTCCACAGGCACAAATGATCCCTCTGCTACCTTGTGGGTCTCTGGGTTGGTCTGAAGCACCACCAGGAGAGAGTTCCCAGCCCTTTCACCAAGGCCAGCCTCACTTGGCCTGGAAAACGTGCTTGGATTTCTCATTGGTGCTAAATCTGCACATGGCAGCATCTACAGGAAATAATTTCCACCTTTCCCAGTTGGGCAGGAGGCCCTGTCTCTCTTGGCCAGGTCAGGCACGTTGTGTCAGCGCTCCCTGGCACCAGGGAAATGTGACAGCCCTGAGCAGAGTCCAAGAGGTGCTCGGGGAATGCCACCCTGGCCCAGCCCAGCCCAGCCCAGGAGGACGCGTGTCACTGGCAGAGTCCCCCACGCTGCCTCCCCAGCAGCTGCCAAATTAATTTCAAGGTCTGGGACACACCACTCAGCATCTTAGCTCATGTCTCCAAGGTGGATGACAGCAGAAGAAAACTCCTTGCTCCAGGCTAAGCTGAACTCTCCTCCTGAAGGCAAAGCTCTCTTGTGGAGGAGAAACAACATCCCAAAGCAGCACCATAAAATACAGACCTATATTCCCTTTGTGACAGCTTCAAACAACCTTCTCTGCTACAAAAGGGTATATAAGAAGGTCCTAATATAATAAAACACTACAATCCATGCAGAATTCTCCTTCCCTGCAGGAAAGGTAAGAAAAAGGAAGGAGTTTAGATCAAGCAATCTAGATGAAAGAACACACAGAAGGTTTAAGACATACAGGGCCCAGACCTAATCTGCTTTTTTTTCTGACTCCTCTCAGTAGATCTAAGAGAAGATACTGTATCTCCAACAAAATTTATTCT